CTGCTCTGCTGAGTAGTACTTAAAAGTATGCCTACTGATTTATAACTCACTTGTCCGAGATCGTCGACTACCCTCAATCGACCATGATCCTGGTCGAGCACACGGGCACCAACGGGAATGCCCTCGCCGGCCAATGGTTCGATCCATACAAAATCTCCCTAAAGTGAAATTATTGGAGTAGACATATAAGGAAAAGGGGTTTTGGTTGGGAATCACTGAACCAAGAAAGTGAAAAACCCAATACAAAAAGATAAATAATGAACTATTGTCAAAGTTTGAAAAGCCACCGTAAAGTTCATTCCAACAGGAAAGTGAAAGGGTAAGGTAGCGTAATTCTGCATGGTGGGGGAATTTTTAGGGTTCTCGTCAATCAGTGCCTATGTCTACTGTGGAGACGTGTTAAATCTAGTAAAGTTACGTTATAAGCGAGCTTTTCACACTTGACAAGTCTTACCAAGTCCCCCCCCCCACAAGCCAAACAGCACTGTAAGGTCATTATGCTGAAATGAGATGCTTCGGTAGGGCGCGCAGTAGGGCTAGGCAGAAGAGAGTCTGAAACAAGGACGCTAGGATGGTCATGAAGATGGTACAAGTCTGAATAATGGCACGAGAGAAAAGGCACCGATTACGACATAAGGGCACTTATTACTAGTGAGAAACGCTGATGACCAGTCGCTCACCCCTCCGATGAGAAACATCTGACTTTGAAGCGTCCGCTAAGCATTCAGAAGTCTTACAGAGGCGTTGGAATCAGGTCTGCAAGAGAGATTCACTGACGTGAATGTCAGAAGATTTCTCGGACACCAGAAAGTGATGACGACTCCAAACAACATCAGCGAACCGCGCCAGGGCGATGTATTGACGAGAAAAAGCGAGAAAAAGAGGCTGAAGAAAGTAATTGTTATTTTTTGCGCTGAACTCCCCCTCAGGATTCTCTCTCTGAGATGGGTTGGTTTCTGGTGGCTCGCCTACCACGTGCTTGGTCCGCGGATCAAATCCCCGATCGACATCCGCCCAGGCCAACTAGCCCTCTACCCTTCCGCTCTGTGAGTTGATCCCAGACTCGTCTGGAAGATAAATACACCGACTTGTAGATCGGATGGACCCAGCAAGTCATTGCATAAACCACATCGCATTCAATAAGCCACAACGTTGTAGGTTGAGTGAAAAGCAAAAGGCGTGCTGGATCCCAAAAACGCGGCGTGCATCCCAAATACGGATTGATCTAACGGCAAAGACTTTATCCAGTCACTCCATATTAAGTTCTACTTGTTGCATGTGCCTAAGATATTGGAATGCTGATGAATATTCCACATTTTCCCCACTAATTACTGAGACATCAGGCCGATAAACGAATCAGGCCAGTCAATACAATAGCTTTCAGAGCTCCAGGGTGATCTGGCACGCGTTTCAAATGTTGTAGTAGCTTGGTCCAAATAGTGGAAATGGCGAAAATAGAAGGTTGAAATATGTCAAGAAACACTGAGAAAAGCCTTTCTTAAGACACGAGTGGGGAAGCAGTTTTCTTGGATCGAGCTCCCCTCTGTCATCGTGCAATAACCGCTACGCGTATGATTTATGGGCCGTACTTTACCGCTCATACATATATCTCATGCAGCACCGCAGTGGCCGCTTTATATTGCAATCCTTACGCTCAATGTTGTAACTTCGCAAATGAATGCGTCCAATTTGGGCGGGATGAGTCGCGGGGAGTCCGGTAGGTATATGTTGCAGCTTAATAGGGTGTTATAAGAGAACCTTCCCTGGGAAAGGCACCTTGCACACAGCGCCTGCTCAGGGGCGCCGAATTCAGTCCTGCTAGGCGTTTTAGTTCTACACGTCTCGAAGAAGATGTATCGTTGTCAACTGTCAGCAGAAACCGCGAATCTGCAAGTCCACGTCTTATCAGGGTTAAAACGCGTCATTTGTGAGCAGATAACCGTGCTTGACGTTATAGCACCTTCCATGCTCAAAAACTTCTTCAAAGTACATATGTGGACCGAAAAAGGTATTCGATAATGCAATGTATCACTTATGTATTATCTCACTCAGAATGTGATTCACCAAGTCTAGTAGGGGTTAAAGGGGGGGGGGGGTAACTCAACAAGAATGCTGAGTTGTGGGCAAAAGTCGTGGGCCGCCAGCGAGAGTCAACCCGCAAACCTCCTCACGCTTTCTCGCTATCCAACAATAAAACAGTAGGCAAGTTTATCATAGCAAAACAGCTTCAAAAACTTGTAAAGCCTTCGGCCTTGCGGTTCCATGCCGATATCTAACGATTACGGCTGACCGGCTCACCAAGTTAAACGTGTGAGAAGCATTAAGGCTATACGCTATAAAAGCGTCAGTCCTGGATGGCGTAACGGATAGCGCACTCGCCCGGAAAGCGTGAGGTGCGGGTTCGACTCCCGCCTGGGGTACGACTTTTGCCCATAACTCAGCATTCTCGTGATAGTAAGAAGGCGACTATACTATCTTATAGTGCGGAAAATTATCTATCAAACAGTGTAGAACATATTGGGAACAATTGTCATTTTCCATATAAAAATTTGTGTGACAAAAAAACGCCATTACTTATGGGCCAACCTAATGCATTCAAACAACACCCGAATATGTGCCACAAACCTCAATAAAGAAACTGAAAAAAGCAGAAAATCACACAGCGAAAATGAAGTGAAACATGCATAAAAAAGAGGCACAGAAATTAAAGGAAAGAAGATAATTGAAAAAGGATAAAGTATTCGCCTGTTGATCAATCCCTTCTGGGATGCGGCACGCATTCTACTTCCATTCAGAATCGTAGTGGCTTATTGAATGCGATGTGGCCTATACAATGACTTGCGGGGGCCAGCCGATGTACAAATAATTTGATACGATTTTTACAGTATCTTGATGAGTATAATCTTTTATAAACTTTTCCACTGCAGTTCTAGAGGGGTGATGCAAGGAGGTAGCTTAGCTCCGTTTCCCTTGGACGTTTCCCCTGAGGAAACGTTGGTAACATGGCAGCAAGGTAGTAAAAAGACCTATGTTTTGGGGAGTCAGAGGTATTTACTCTTTTTCTGAAAACACGACTAAAATATTCGGAAACGAATTGATGTTCACGAAAACGTTAACAAAGTAGACGGAAAGGAACTCACTTTGGTAACGAGAACCATTGTCGGCACTATGACATTACCAGAGAGTTACTGAAAGCGGTTGTAAAATGAGAGAAATTCGAAAAGTTTTTTCACACAAGACGTCCTTCCCAAGGATACGAAAGTAAACGAGTAACGAGTAACGACGAATCGGAAACGAACATAAGGCGAGCAGAACGGATATCATTACGCGGGCTAACATTATACCAAGTGAACAGGATTCGAGACGGTTTTTGTCATTCAGCTCATAAGATGTTCGGAAGAGGGCTGATGTGGAGTACAAGTAAAAACAGCTGTTACAGCAAAGGAAGCGGGATCTATGTAGCATGTATAAGTTCGATAAGTGAATGAGAATCCTCAGGAATGAAGAAGTGCTACATGCAAAGTACGACCAACCCGTCGGTCTGGGGGATTAGTCCAACTCAGGGTTTGAGAGCTGCTTTCAAACCGTTCACCTAAGGTGTGAGTAGTCAATGCTACGGATGGAAAATCATTCAATGAAATTGCCTGGATCGCTTTTTGTGAAAGTTTTTACCCCTCTCTGGCATTTCCCGAAAAGCGCCGCAAGAGAGAGTCATGTCCTGGACGATCTCCCTTGTAAGTCTGCACCTTATAGTTAAGAACCAATTTCTTTTTCTTCTACACTGGAGTTCTCGATTAATTTATCCAAGGATCCCGTGGCTAGGCAGCTCTTACGCTGGGTGTTTTCTTTTGCGCCATTGAGGTTATCTGGTGAAAAACGCAGTTTCTTCCTGTCCTCACATTTTGACTAGATAGTCAGAGAGGCTTGGTCCAGTAACCTATACAGCTGTCGCTGTGTAGATGTCGCTTTTATTACTTAAAGTATAGACAAAACGGCGACATTCCGCTGCTACGGCGGAGCACTGGGCGCTTGATGAGGACGACATGGTCAGTTAGGGCGATAATAAGTGTTTCAATACACAATGGTAAAAGAAAGAAGTTCAGCGTCAGGTAAATAATAAAAGGAGAACGTCCAGCAGGAATGAAAGTTGGCGCGCATCGGGGGATAGCAAAATGAAGAAGTTTTCGAGAAGATGACTACGAAATGCAAAGATCGTGAGAGGTTAGCGTAGTGCGCGGTGGACAACATTGTGCAGTTTGTGGTGCGGTGGAAAGTTGTAAGGTATAGGCAGCTTTATAGTAGCAAAGTTGCTGCACAGTGAACCAGAGCCTTCTTTTATCCAGTGATCCGGCCTCAGACTCCCGGCCTTTCAAGCCGCTTCAGCCAAAAGCGATGCCCCATATTGTAGCACAAGTCATAGGGCCTATTAGAAATAATGAACCGACTGAATGCGATTCGACAAGCGGTCTTTCGCCTTTTACGCGCACAACTGTCTGAGACTGAAGTGGTCCTATAAGGTGCAGTATTCCGGGACGTGTCCTTTGTGAATCTTCTTTTTAGCAAACAGTCACTTGACGAGTTGTCTTACTCACTAAACACTAATAAGCTCCTCATCGCGGACGTGCCTTTACGGTTCATAAAAGACGCAAAGGTAAATAGCCGCATTATTCTTTTCTTTAGAGGCAAGTGTAAAGATTCTACTTGTTCTAATTTGAAGCACAAGGTGTATCATTCAGTCTTCGTGGCGTGAAAAGTATGATAATATCTGGCCTATGAGCAACAATACGACCAAACTGGCAGACGTGGGCAGATTTCAGATGACAGGGAACAGCCCAAACCGTCCTCTGGGCAGTGAGGTACAGTTAAAAAGACACCGAAGGGGAAGAAATCAGAGGATTTCTAACCGCGAGATGGTCTTGCCCAAAGACAATATGTGACATTCTCGTAATTTTTATCTGCAAAGCTGGCGCTTAAAGCTTCGTGCCGCTGACTCGGGACAGCTATGAGATTTGTTCGCTGAGTGCAGGCTTGGTGTACGTGGTTGTACTGAGAAGCATTCTTTAGTAGAACTCTATGCTGCAGATGGAGACACAGTCCAATCAAGATGATTTGGGTTGCCCTTTCCTTGCGATTTTTCCATCCCTTTTAGCATTTCCACAATCGCGCAGGAAAGCTGGGACCCACTTATATAACTGATCTTTTCAATGGCATGTCTCGTACTCAAAAGTCCCAAAGCTTATACAAAGATAGCGCTTACATCCTTGCGCGATATTGCCTATTGAGATTTTCGGTTTGGGGTTCAACTGAACGACACAAATGATCATCAAACAGGCTCGTCAAATTGATTTTGCGATCTGTTTTCCGGACGACAAAGTCCACGACAGAGTATTTACGGACAACTTCGATCACGTAAGTCTACCTTTTCAGGGGACTTACACCTATACGAGAAGCCTAGTTTAGAGCCATGGGTGCCGATAAAGCACCCGACTCGAAGCGCAGTTAGTAGCTAAGATAGAATATTCCGCAGGCTTGACCGAATCGTCATTCCTTGGAGTAGTTCATTCGCCGGTTTCATGAAGAATAACAGGCAATACTACAGACTGTTTTACCTAGCTCCATACTCCGAGCCCAATAGCAGTTAGAAGAAAAGCTCAGTGCAGGCTTTGAAAATGCATGTTTTAGAAGTCGAACGCATGGGTATCTGAGATTATCAGCAATATGCTGGCACTCTGACATTTTCGAAACCAGATACATGGGATTAGTAAACACCAGAAGCATAAGTTCCTGAACGAGAAGTGAAAGAAGAAGGGAGAGGTGATGAAAGGAGAAATAGGTCAATATAATATACTCAATACACACGTGATGGATAGTAGAAGATTAGACGCAGTTCGACTTGGGGGGGGGCATCCTGCACTTTCGCTACATCTTGTTGTCGTGCCTAGCCAACAAGTAGAGATTTGTGTAATCTTAGCATATGAAACAATGAAGCTGATTTACATCAAGGTTTGCAGAAACTGTTGTCAGGTGTGTGGAGAGAGGTTATACCTGTCAACCCTTGTAAGGAAACAATACGACAACGGAAGTAGAACAACGCTTCTCTCGCCCTCCTCCCCGCCAAAGCGTAACTGGCGCAAGCATATCTTACTCCAAGCGAACGGTAGTCTTAAAATTAGAAGGAAATGAAGATGGATCTAACGAATTCCTTGATTACAATGGGGGACCATCAAAGGCTTAGGAAAGGAGTGGAAGCGTTGTCAGCAAGTGTGCGCAGTGTTTGCGAACGCTACACGATGTTCGCGTCGAACGCACTGAGCTTCTCCAAATAAGGGGAGAAGGCGCGACAGTGTCGGTCGTGAATCTGGGGCTGACCTTGTTGATTTCCTTCGACAAGAAAATTAGCACTCGAAGACGTCTCCTCAGGGTCAACCCCTAATTTTTCACGCACTCGATTGGATAAATAATCATGTGACGATCAAAGGTTATAAGAAGGCACAGGTAAGTGATGGAAATACGGGGAAAGCGTAGAATTTCCCACAACAAGAACTCATGTGGGGGAAAAAGTACAGCCTTAGTAGATATTGCGCCTAGTCGGCTGTCTCTAATCTGTCCTCCAAAACGGGTCAACCAGCGATAGAGTTCGGTTAGCGCGGAGGCTGCAGCACATTGTCTAGTCGGCGAGGAAACGGAGAGACACTGATCAGCCGGTTAATGGTAGATGATAAATCGATATCCCTTCGAGTACATCACTACTGGATAAATCGATTCTCAATTACTCTTGGGGACGTTCCCAGAAGTAGCTGAAGGGAGTGGCAGGCGCTGCATCAGATTCGGCGGAACACGAACACGAGAACAAGTTCGTGGAAAGGCTGGAAGCCAGTCAAACCACTAGAGATTCATGATGGCGTTGACTAATAGATGAAGAGCCCTTACGGAGAGTTTCCGCGAACGTGAGAAAAAAGATGAAGTGTTCCGATAAACAGCAGTTAACAAACACTTCACCGAATCGCATTTTGGAGTGCGCCGTGCCCTCGACATTCAAAAGTAACTAAGTGTCTGAGAGAATGTGCAGCACTGATGGACATCAGATTGTATGTTGATGATTAGCACCGAATTTTTAACGACTTCAATCAAACGGATCAGGTTCTCAGGACAAAAGTAATACTAATTCGAGTTTAGAAGCTCTAAGGGAAAGTGCAACATCACGGATAAAGTTCTTAAGAATAAAGGGAAGTTTCGATTTCTTTTGGGGCATGCAACCTACTTCACCACAGAAATCGTAGTGGATTAGTGAGTGCGGTCGGCGCCGTAAACCGCCGACTTGCGGCGTACTAACAGATGTCAAGTCGGTCATCCTTATCCTATCAACAAAACTGCTGCGCGCATTTCACCGTCCCTGGAAGGCAGAAGGCATGGTTGGCGTGAGCAGAAGCCGAGCCGTGATTTTCATCCGGACCGCATGTGATAAACGTGCCACTCGCACTACACCACCTCACAGTGAAGCCACAGGGAAGCTTCAACACACGAAAAAAAAAGATCAAATGGTTCAGTTGAAAGTAGCCGGTAATCTGTGTGCAGTTCCGCCTGTCACGCAACCACCTATTCTAGCTGTAGTACAACGAATTTGATAAATTTATTTGAGAATTTCAGTGTTGAAGGAACATAGAAAATGAGAATAATGTTGCTCGAAGATGAATAGGAAGGTGCAAAGGGACGCACTGGCGAAGAAAAATCAAACAAAACACCGTCCTACTGGACGCTTAATAAGGCCCCTAAATGGAGCAGTGTACAAACATACGATAGTGATTAGTTTGAGCGCAGTTCGGCGATAGAAGGAGGGGCACATTTTGCGCTTCCGCTGTTTTCCAACAGTGTGTTGAGCCATTAATTGAGAGTTGTGGAAAGTTGCGAAGCCATGAAGTGATACAGATGAAAATTTGTAGAAAGTGCTCGACAAATCTCGTAAATAATACATGTCAACCCTTGTAAGAGCAATGAACATGACATCGTTGGGAATACGGTGAAAGTCCAAGTCCCCCCCCCCCCCACCCACTCCGTCGCGAAATGAGCAAACTTCTTTCGATTGAGTTCTTGGCGTGTTGCCTTTTTCACAAGCAGGAAATGAGAGTCTTCTTGCGCTTAACAAGCCACCTTCATCACT